ATAACCTGGTACTGGTACCGGGTTAGGGCCAGACTTTGTCACAACAGGGCAGAGAAGCAGAAAGGGAAATGACCATGTACAGAAGGGCCCACGCATGTGGGATAGCCTTGCTTTATAATAACCCACCATTGTAAAAACTAAGCAAGTCCAGGGAAAACTACATTAATTCCTTCTGAGATTAGTGCTGTCATGGTCCAATCACTTTTTACCAGGCCCACCCCTTAAAGATCTACCACCTCCACTACCACTGCAATGGTGACCAGCTTCCAGCAAATGAACCTCATGGCAGGTAGGTATGTGGGAAAGCAGAGGAAATTTCAGACACTTGGGACAGGAGAAGTCAATGTGGGGAGTGAGAACTGTATGGTGGCTTGGTAGAGAAATAATGAATTCTGTAACTAAAGCGCAGAACACTAGCTAAGAGCCTTGGGTATGGAGCCAAGCTACTGGAGTTCCAATATCAGCTGTCTCTCTCTAGTTATGTGGCCTTGGAAAACCTTCTTAGCACAAGAGCATGGGGGCCTGCACCAATGCCTGCCTCAGAATTTTGTCTTGAGAATTGAATGAAGTTACCCATGCAAATATCTAATAAATGCTCAGTTAGCTATTAGGTAGTAGCCAATGGATCATCTATAAGGGACATTGCAGAGTGACATGGATGCGCTCTGGTGACTGGTGAGTGAGGAGTCAGACAAGAGAAGAATCATCGATAAGTCGACATTTAAAATCCCACCTCCTTCACAACCTAAAACATGCAAGTGTGTGTCGGTGCATGTGTGCACATACATGTCAACACAGTCATTCCATCCTTCAAAAGATAAAGAAGCAAGGAGGATCTAGGCTTGGTGATAAAACAAAAATTAGGAATTCTTTTCTTCAACAGGATACACTAGAAACGCTGAAAGAATATCATTGTGAAGACAACTGTTCAGAAGTTGTTGAACATTTGGGTCTTGAATTCTAGAGATGGCAGGATTAAGGATACATTTAGTTTCAAGGGTCATTCATACTGGTCTAGTAATTAAATCAGCAGGAAGATAAAAACCACAAGTGCAAAGGTTCAGATTAAAAAAAAAAGAAGAACCAATTCATAAAACAAATCAAAACCAAAAAACCCTCAACTGGTAAAAACCCACCTAAACACATTAAAGATCATTTGGGAGTTAGGGGAAGAAGGAATAGCAAGTGGAGGAGCTGGGGGCTGCTTGAATGTGGGCAAGGAACTTAGCCATGGCAGCAGAATGGAAGCTAATGGTTTCTAAGGAGACTATTGCTCAGAGTCACACACAAATCTCAGACAGAAGATGATTCGAGGCAGAGACTGGTTTGGGTATAACGAAGTCATATAAGATGCAGGGCCAGTTCTGGGAGAGTGTTCTCAATGCAAGACTGGCAGCTGTCTGCATACAAATAAAACTTAAAGACATACAAGTGAAATTCACAGGAGACAGGAGGGAGAGACTAATTCATGACAGCAGAGAATCCTGGGAAATAATCTCAATGCACCCAAGAAGACGGTGAAGCCCAAAACCATGAAAAAGTCACCAGGTTTGGTAAAGTAGTGGTCCTTTTAGAGAAACACATAATGGAATGGCTTTCCTTTAAGTTGTATGTAATTTGTGAATTCAAAATCCTTTGAGGACATATATAAATTGTACAATGTGGTGAGGAAGGACCCCTGGAAAGTGAATGATCACAACTACTCTCTGATATAAGGATACAAAAGCCATGTGATTAAGTCAGGACAGGGAAATTTGCACCCACATGTAAAGAATCAGAAGTTGGGTGAGCTCAGTTCCAGCCAAGAATCATATTTCATTAAAAAGTAGAGCCTCAAAAACACTCAGCTAGATGCTAAATGAAAAAGTAGACAAAGGCTTTCTCCACCAAGCCTAAATTCCATGCACACTCTGAGGCCCATAACCTCAGAGTTAATACTTTAGCTTAGCATGCTTCCTGGGGAATACCATTCTATCATAAAAATGGTCTGGGAGAACTGCCTGTAAATCTTAGATACACAATCTTAACATTTCTTCCCGTTCAAAGGCAAGACATTAAATTCACTGCTTAAGGAAAGTCTCAGAGGCCACTGCAGAGTCCTGGCATTGCTGGTGTTGTCCCTTTGCTTGTTCCTACCAATGATTTTTCATATGCATTTGTTGGTGATGAGTGGGCAGCCAGGAGGTCTGTCCCAGGTTGTCTCTGGAGGCTGCTGAGTGAAGTCTAATGACATCAGAAGCAGGGCTACAGTGACTAACACATGAGATGGTTACTGTGGAATTCCTTCACAGACATGCTCACATTACCAACATATGGGAGAATGGAGCACCCCAAACCCATTATGTAGCTTGGTTTAGTCTACGCCACTTGATCCTAGCTTTATTCTCTATTTTTTCACCATAAGCTGTGGGGTTGTGCAGCTGGATTACAGGGAGGGCACAACCCAATGTCCTGTCCTTTCATAGCAATGCAAGACACATTCATGGGGAAAGGAGAAAGAATTCCAACTTCCAGAACCAAAAGGTGAGGCTGAAAGAATTCCATGTCTTTTAAGCTTCTGGAATCTATTACTAGAGGCCAAACTGCAGGCATGGTCACAGATAGCTGGTTTTGAAATGTTTCCTATTTCTCATTGTTAAGTTATTTTCACTGAAACGTAAAAGCTTTTCTGTTGGTTAGATGGTGAACATTTGTTCTCCCCTTGTTGGGGACAATGGTTGATTTATCACACAAGCAACTGTAGTATAAAGTAGGCTGGGGGTACTGAAAGCGATCACTATCATTTCATCTACAAAGTAGAAAGCAGAAGAACTTTGCTGAAATCCATAGCAAAAGTTTTGCATTCTAATAGGCTTTGTGCATATGGTTAATATTTGATGCTCCTGGTCTTCCCAGGGGGTCCTTCTATAGGCACCACATGTGCTTAAGAGTTTAAACATATGTCTTTCCCAACCAGAAACAACGTTCTCCAAGGCAATTGTAGGGCATCTGTCTGAGAATGGCTTTATGGAACAGAAACAACTTAAACATGACAGAAGTCCAGTTTGAAGACTAGACATATCAACAATAAAGACATCCAAGGGAGCAGAGATTCTTACAAATACCACTGAGAATAACACAAGGCAAAGGGTCTCATATTATTTGTCCATGCTTCACAATAGGCATGACTCACTGTCTTCACCTTGCTCTGCTTTACATTGAAAAGTTTGGCTTTAGCATTGGTTAAAGCCAAACTCAAAATCCTAGATTTTTTTAAAACAGCAATATAGCCTTCGGGTCTAATCAAACACTATTTTATAAATAAAAAAGCAGTTGAGTTTGTAAGATACTTTTTCCTCCAAAAGTGCAGATTCTGTTTCCACTATGTTGCGACTTACATTCTGTTCCAGAATTATACAGAAATTCTTCCAGCACATTCACTTGGACCTCCTGATACCTTTCTTGGTTTGAAACTTACATACCCTGTGTGAAAGGTAGAACTCCTGACTATGTTAGGTTACGTGAGAAAGGGAGATTAAGTTTGCCGATCAGCTAACCTTAAAACGGGGAGATTTTTCTGGAGTATTGGGTAGGCCACTGCAATCACAGGTGTTTATAAAAATGGACAACAGAGGATTAGAGACACAACAATGGAAACAGGGTCAGAGGGATGCTGTTTTGCTGGGTTTGAAGATGGAGGACAGAGATGGCAAATCTATTTGCGTAACCCATAGATTCTTTACAGTCTCCAGAAAAGAACACAACCCTGCTGGCCACCCTGTATTTTAGACCAATGACACTCCTATCAGTCTACAGACTCTATGACTGTTAAGGTTGTACATTTATGGTGTTTTAGCTAAGTTTGTCATAATTTGTTATAGCAGCAATAGAAAACTAATACACACTATCAGGAAACAGAGACACCTAGATGAAGAAGAATATCTCAACACCAGAACAGAAAGATGCATGCATTTCTTCAGCAGTAAAACCCATTCCATTCATTAACTTTTCTTTAGTTAAACTCTAGCACACAGCTGAGGGCTAATCCACAGGAAAGATGATATAAAATAATGCAGTGCCTTCTAAGTGTGTGTGTGTGTGTGTATGTATGTTATGGCATACAACTGAGAAGCTAATTTTTTGTCCCCCACCCCATTTTATGTGAGAAGAATGCACCATCATTATTAGAAATGCATTTCCTTCCAGTGGACCTGCATTAATGTGTTCCTAAAATCTGCTTAAAGTTTCCCTGCTCAGCGATGCTTGTGCACTGTGAATGTTTGGATAATCTGAGATGACCCAAATCTAGAGAATTTTAGCTACAGAATCACACAGGTATTTCTACTCTGCTCGCAACATGGTTCAGAGGAGATAGGTAATATTTGACACAGTAGGACAGCAAGTAGACCTGAATTAGAATCTGAGTAAGAATGCCATGATGTAGAATAATAATGTAAGTACATGAAGAGATTTTCCATGCAAGGTGTGCATTCTTTTGGTTTGCATATGAGTTTGTTTTCACCAGGCAAAAAGACTGCAAGGGAGTCTCAGAGTCAAAGTTCTATGATAAAATATCATTTGATGTGAACACTTTCAGCATCTCCTTGGAGTGACGATATGCTAATCCCATGCTTTGGGTGTGTGGGGAGGGGTGGAGGGTGGGGTGTGTGTGGGGGGGCGTGTTGGGGGGGTTAGCCTGGTAGTAGAGTACTCACCTAGCACATGGGAGACCCTGCATTTAATGCCCCAGCATGGCCAAAATAAATAAGCCTATAATTTTAAAAAATTAGCTCCATTTATAGATAAATTAGGATGAAGCCAGCTCCATTCCAGTCCCTTTGCCCCAAATGATGAGGAAATGATATTGCTCTACCAAAGAACAACAATGAGTCACCACACAAGACGAATGGTAAGGACCCACCAAACCTGGTAGTGGGGTGTGATGACATCAGGAATAAAGATAAGAAGAAGGGATGGCTTGACCCAGATAATAAAGTTGAAAATAAAACAATAATGCTTACCCTCATGTCTCCATTCACAGTTTTTGGCGTGTGGTTAAATGCATGTGAAGGGTCCTTGTTGTACACTTTGAGGAGTGATCTGTCCTGGATGTTCCTGGAATCAAAAACTTAAATAACTATGACAGACCAAAGGAACAAGACTTTGGCCGTTTCTTCTGCCTATCCCAAGGATCAGGGAAAGGATGTGAACAGACAATCCAGCAATTGTCCACCATATACCGCAGAAAAAGTTCTTTCACCATAAAATGGGCAAATATAAATAAGGAATAGGAGAAAGTACATGTCTTTAGCTTTTCTTTCCTTGATTGATTCCTGGGGAAGGCACTGTATTTTAAAGGTAGCTCTCCATCCATAAATATCAGATAACAAGCCATTTCTTTCAAGCTTCTGAGGGCAGAAAACTAAAGCTTTTACATGCAATAAAGCTCCAATATTTATAATATGTACAAAGAGATTTGGTTAATATTTAATTGTTTACTTTGCCCAAACACCTGGTTTGTTCTTTATCTAATGAATACACACCAAAAAATATTGTTTTTTTTTCCTTCTTTCAAACACACTCTGCAAAATTGTATGTTCTGTCTAGAACAAGAAAGTACAATAGAGATCAAAACCAATGTCGCTGCAATGCCTTTATTTTTCTTACACTGTAAGTTTTAAAAAATACTTTTCTGCATACAAATTGGATTATGGGACAAAAAGGAAAAGCAGTAGACAAACTCCTTTTGATGTCAGCTCTTACAACCAACCAGTAACACTGCAGCAAAAGAGAGAAATCCTACATCTTGCTCAAATCCTTAAAATTATTTAAGAGCATAGGAATGATTATGAAGTCCTTCTTCCTCCATAGGCAGCTTTGGAAGAATCCAAGGCCAGTCCAGTCACCTACACTGTGATTCTGCCCAAGACCATCCGGCCAAGCTAGGAGCAAAGTGTGCAGCAAGACGAATTCCTCCCTCCAGGTGTAGCCTCATGTTTAGCGGGCTGATCACAATTGCTGGGTTTATTGGGTTAGGCTTTTGTTTTAAATGAAGAGGAGGATTCTTTAAATATCTGCCAGGCGTTGCTTTGAAGCAATGACTAGTCTAAGCTTGCACGGCTGCTCCAGAATCATTAGAAGTCTGCTGGCAGGGAGTGTGCATCCCTCATTAGTGAAAGGGGCTAGGTTAATATGGGGAGAGGCCTGGAGGTAGGGACATGGGTATTCACTAAAGGACCTCACCCTTAAAGGGGAACAGGTACTAGAAAAAAGGTTAGATCAAAAAGAATTAACCTAGAAGGTAACACCCATGCACAGGAAATCAATGTGAGTCAATGCCCTGTATAGCTATCCTTATCTCAACCTGCAAAAACCCTTGTTCCTTCCTATTATTGCTTATACTCTCTCTACAACAAAATTAGAAATAAGGGCAAAATAGTTTCTGCTGGGTATTGAGGGGGGGGAGCGGGAGGGGGTGGA